TCTTGTCTTTGATCCCATTTATATGATTAATGATGTTTTTTGACCTGCATATATTGAACCATCCCTGCATCTCTGGGATAAAGCCTACTTGATCATGGTGAATGATCTTTTTGATGTGTGTCTGTATGCAGTTTGCAAGTATTTTGTTGAGAATTTTTTCATCTGTGTTCATTAAGGATATGGGTGTATAATTTTCTATTTTGGTTGTCTTTACTTGGTTTTGGTATTAGAGTGATGCTGGCTTCATACAAGGAATTTGGGAGTTCTTCCTCTGTTTCTATCATTTTGAACAATTGGTTGGAAGTATTCTTTAAATGTCTGGTAGAATTCTGCTGTAAATAAGGTTTGGTAGAATTTAGCAGTGAATTTCTCTGGTCCCATACTTTGTTGGAACACTATATTACTGCTTCAGTTTCACTGATTAATATGGGTTAATTTAAGTTGATACCCTGTTTAGGTTTTTTGTACCTAGGAATTTATTCATTCTAGAGTTTTCTTAATTTTTTAGAATATAAATTTTTAAGGTTTCGTTAATGACTCTGGATTTTTTTAAAAATTTGTAGTTACCTTTCCTTTTCTTCTCTAAGTTTATTAATTTGTATATTCTCTTTCTTTTGGTTAGTTTGGCAACTTGTTTGTCAAGCTTGTTTGTTTTAAAGATCCAACTCTTTGATTGTACTTATTATTCTTTTAGTCTCTGTTTATTTCTGCCTTAATCTTTATTGTTTTTTCCCATCTGCTCCTTTTTTGAATTTAGATTTTTGATGTTTTTCTAAGGTCGTGTGTTGCATGATCAGGTTATTTATTTGAAATCTTTATCTTTCTTTCTATTATTTTTATTTGTGCATACGTGTGTGCATGTGTGTATGACAGTGGGTTATGTTCATCCCAGTGAAGGAGAATAGAGTTATTGGGTCCCCCAAAGCTGGAATTATAGGCGATATTGAGCTGCCCAACGTGGGTGCTGGGAATCAAAGTTGAGTGCTCTGCAAAAGCAGTATGTGCTCTTAACTGCTGAGCCATCTGTCCAGCCTCCCCTCTTTTGTTTTGATTTCTTTCTTTGTTTCTCTTTCTTTGTGTGTGTGTGTGTATATACATGTGCAGACATGCAAGTGCTACGATACATATGTGGAAATAAGACACATGTATTGGATGTCTTTCCTTGCCTTCCACTTTGAGGCAGAATCTGTAGCTTTTCACAATTGCATGCTCCAGGCTCATTGGCTTGTGAGCTTCTCTGTATTTTCTTCTCTCCTTTTCCATCTCCTGTGCGAGCACTGGGATTACAGGCATGTACTACCATGTCTAGCTTTACATCATTCTGGGATATGAACTTAGGTCTTCATGCTTGCATGGCAAGTGCTTTATCCACTGATCCATTTTTCTAGTTCATGATTTACTTAAATGTAAGCACTTAAGCTACAAACTTTCCTTTTAGAATTACCTTAGCTGTATCACAAAGGCACTAATAATTTTTTTTTCATTTTTATTTGATTCTAGGAATTTTTAAATCTCCCTGATTTCTTCAGTGACCACTGATCATTCAAGATTTTATTGTTCAGTCTCCATGCATTTGTACAATTTCTGTAGCTTTTCTTACTGTTGGCTTTTGTTTTGTTGCAGTATGATCTGATAAAATTGAAAGTATTATTTTGATTCTTTTGTATTTAATAAGATTTGATTTGTTTTTGAGAATGTGGTCTTTTTAGAGCAAGTTCTATGGGCTGATGAAAAAATATGTATTCTGTATCTTTTTTATGTAATATTGTGTGTACATTTGTTGTGTCCATTTGATCTGTGGTATATAGTTTGGAGCCCAGATGATTCCATGATGAGCACCATGTGTTATACATGGAGCTGCAGGATTTGATGTTTGCCCTGCTTGGTTTTGGTCTTGGTTTGGCCTAATATTTCCTTGCTTTACAAGTGTTCTCTTTTGGAATGAGGATGTTTATTCAGTATCATTGTATGTTGGAAGTATGTAACTTTTTTTTTTTTGATGTTATAGAGGCTCACAGTAAGAGATTGTTTTAAGTCTGGAAGAGACTTAGGACTTTTAAACAGTTATGTTGAAAGTATTAAATATTATGGAGACTTTTGAAATTGGACTAAACGAATTTCAAATTATTAGATGGCCATGAGCCTATGGGGACAAGGGGTGGAAGAATATGACTTAAAAGTCATGTGCTTTTTAGGGGCCTAGGTGTCGTGGCACACAATTTTAATCCCAGCACTTGGGAGGCAGAGGTAGGCAGATCTCTGCGAGTTCAAGGCCAGACTGTACATAGTGAGTTCCAGGCCAGCTGGAGCTACAGGGAGACCCTGGCTCAAAAAGAACCCCCCCCCCAAATCATGTGCTTTGATGTTGAGTTGACATGGAATGGAGTTGTGATGCTTAATGTTGATTGTCCACTTGGTAGGCTCTGGAATAATTTGGAAGGCAAAGCTTTAGGCACACCTGTGAGAATTACTTAGCTTGTGTTAGTCTGTGAGGGATTATCTTGATTAGGATAATTGAAGTGGGCACTGAACCATATAAAGAGGAGGAATCTAGCTGAACACAAGTATTCATTGCTCTCTGCTTCCTGACTGGACCAGCTGATTCAGTTTCCTGCCTCTGCCTTTCCCACTGTGATGGGGGAAGTCCCCTCAAACTGTGAGCCAAACTGAGCCCTTCCTTCCTTAACTTGCAAAAGTCAGGGTATTTTATCATAGTAAAAGAAAAAGTAACTAATACAAACTCTGACATTTCTTTGTTGATATTTAATTTGGATGGCCCTTCTAGAAATGAGAGTAGGGAATTGAAATTACCCACTATTATTATATCAGGACTTATCAAACCTTTCATGTACATTAGTGTGTATATTTATAATTGCTGTGATTGTCTCCTTTGTAGTGACCTTTGTTAATATTATAATTTTGGTGTAAGTCTTCCTTTGCCAAATAGCCATGGTTTTGGCATCTGTTCACTTAGCAGATTGTTTTTCATCTTTTGCACTCAGCCTGTGGGTGTCTTTACCAGTAGGATATGTTTTTTGGAGACAACAAATAGTTGAATCTAGTGTTTCAATACAGTCATCCAGTCTTTGTCTCTTTACTGGTGAGTAGAGGCCATTTAAATTTAAGGGTATTAATGATAGATACTAATTTCTATAATTTGTTGGTTGTGTTATTATTTTTTTCTTTACTTTTGTCTATTAGGATTTGGGGTTTCCTGCTTTATTGTTATAGACACATTCTGTTCCTTCCTAACTCTCCTTTGTTTATCTTTCCTCTCTTGAAATGTGTTCTTTTCTGTGATCTCATGATTGAGACCATTTTTGTCTGTCTCAGGGTCTAGATTTCTTTTTGTCATGTGTTCTGTTCTTGATGTTAAATGAAAGTTAGAAATATAACTATATGAATGAGAAGAATCTGGTGACAAAGACTATTTTCCCACTAAACCAACCAATATTCATTGAGGTTCTTTAATAGTAATTAATTAAATTTGTCTTGCTGGGCATCAAATCTAGGACCTTATGTGTGCTAAACAAGAGCTGTACCACTAAACTATATTGCGAAGCCCATAATCTATATGGATGGGAAAGAATCTACTTAAATCTCTCATAATCTTCTTGCCTAAAATACCTGATTAAATTCATTCGTCATGATGCTTCATTGAAATGTATGTAGCTTTACTTAACATCTTTAGATATAAAAATGGCATGATGTTGAAGTATTAGGATACTTTTATATCATATTTTAAAAATTAATTGGTTCTCTTTGCTTTTCTTTACTCTTTAGCCGGCCCCAGAAAGTATGTTTGTGTCCATATCTGCCAGTGCACCCACTCCATATCTCTACCCACTTGTACATAATCCAACATCCAGCAGAGGTGAGTTAAATTTTGTAAATTATACAACTTCATATGGAATATGACTGCATCAGAGGAAACACCCCGTAGGCATGCTTATTCCTACTGTTGAGTGTTTCAGATACAAAATATTGTCTGTGGTAAGGGCTTAAACTTTAGGGAAGAAAGTTTTGTACATTATATGAGATTGTAGAGTCAAATGTTTGAGGCATAGTATTTCATAAAAATTGTGTTTTGGGGACTAGAGAGATGGCTCAGTGGTTAAGAGCTGCTCTTGCAGAAGACCTGAGTTCTGTTCCCAGCATCTATATGGCAGTTATCAACCATCAATAACTCCAGTTCCAGGGGATTTGACATTCCAGGGAATCTTCTGGTCTCTGTGGGAATTGCAGGGCATAGGTGCATTTACATATATGCAGGCAAAACACACACATAAAATAAAAATAAATAGATCAATTTTTTTTCAAAAATTATGCATTTGAGTAGTATAAAGATTGTGAACTCCAACAACTTTGAATGATGAAAAAATGTAATTTTGTGACTAAAGAGCTAAGAGAATTATTCTTTTAAATTTTGGTCATAGCTTATGCTCCTTGATGACTTTTCTTGCTAAAGTAGAAATTTACATTTGGGAACTTTTTTGTTTTTTGAGATTTAACTCTATATTCTGCTTAAAATACATATATAAAAAAGGGGAGGGGATAGGGTGAAATAGAATTACATGACTGACAAAAAGACTTGAAATTATAGTCAGAGTGGCATTTTAATCTTATAAATTGAATACTTAAGTAAAATTTTCATTTAGATGAATAGAACATGTTTATTTTGCAATATACCAGCTGTAATGACTTTCTAATTAATACTCTCCTGTTTAGAATGATATATGTGCCAGAATGCATGTATGTTTGTAATATTTGATTTATAATGATGGGGTGTAAGGAAATCATAGGAAATTATAAAGTATGGTTACTACACAACTAGTTAGTGCCTGATATAAATGGATTTAATGTAAACCCAAGTGAGCACTCATTGCATTGAGCAACTCAGGACATCTTATAGTCAAGTTGGCTTTAGATGAAGAAGTAGTTTGTGTGTGTGTGTGTGTGTTGTGTGTGTGTGTTTTTAATTTCACAACCTAGTCTACTTGAAGACTTTAACAAAAATATAGAAGAAATTAGTTTGTCTTTTCCAAATAATGAAATACTTTTTCATTTGTTGAAAGCTGTTAAATATTTCATTTGTTGCCAACTCCTTTTTCAGACTTTACCACAGACTCTTTTTTTTTTTTTTTGTGATTCTGATAGCTTAGTTACTGGAATGATTTTACTGTATCTAAAACGGCAATATTGTTTAGCTCATAGTTGCAGAAAACAATAGCTCTTGGGGCATACACATTTGCTTTAAAACCTGTGTTTTGATGGTGAATTTCATATTTCATCTTATGGTGCACATAATATGCACTTCACTATTGTTCTAGATGCAAGACTGTCTTTAAAATTAATTTGTGGGTATTTTAATAGTTTGAAATCTCTTACAGTTTTTTTTTTTAACCATGATTAATCCTCAGTTTAGATGATTCATGTAAAATAGTGTCTGCTGTGGATGTAGTTAATGTATATGCAAGTACATCCAAATTGGTTTTCCTTATCAGCAAAGAAACTTTCTGGTCTTCATCTGGTTCAGTAACACTAGGCTGCCTGTGTGTAACTTCAACATTCTCTTTCGCATAAATGAATCTGCCAATTTCATGATTCTTCCATAAAAATGTGATTGAAAACCATTTGGACACACTCCAGGTAGAAGCTGGGAAAAGAAACATGGTAGAGAAGATGATGTAGATGTGATGGACATTTCAAAGAGCAGGTGTATGTATGTAGAAAAGTACTTTTAAGATAAAAACAAAAGTTATCTAAAAAATAATAAAAAAAGAAGCTTTACAAGAAAGAAATATTATGTCAAGCTCTATGGTCTTTCTGTACAATGTATGTTTAGCCATATTGATGTAAACACTATTAATTTATTTAAAACCATTATAAGATGTGAGAATTAGCAGTGCGATAAGAGTACAGAATGCTCATTTTTCATAAGAAGATGCACTTAGAAGTTTGGAAGTTAAGAGTAAGAGTTTTAGAATAAGAGTGCCTAGCTTCCAAATTGTTAATAGCTCTGTGAACATTGTAGGCCTGAGAAAGTTTATCTCTCTGGGCTTCAGTTACTTTGTTGCTTAAATGGAATATTTCTTGTAATTGTATGCACTAATATTAGCTATGATGAGTTCTAGTTTTGAGTAATATGTTAAAATTGAAACATCGAAGTTGTAAGACACACACATCATAGGAAATATGGAGATAATTCTCAGGAGATGTAGCTACAGTAGAGTGATGACTTCTTGGAAGCAGTACTGAAGAGTATACTTGGGAACAGCTATAGCATTTTAGGTATTTATCATTTTAAATTTGATATATGCATGTATTACTTTAATAAAAGTGTGGAAACTAAAAGTCTCCATAGTGATGTAAGGGCAAAGAACACTATATGAACAGTGGAAAATTTTCTAAACTCCACCTCAGGCACAGTAGCTAACCACCTGTCTCTATAGGATTAATGATAAAGTTGTGGCAACAGGCAAGATAGTTGTCAGTGGTGCAGACTAGCATGCTGGTGGTCAAGTTACTGCTTGGTTCTTCCCATACTCTAAATTCTTCTGAATATCATAAGTGCAGGCCACTCAAGTGGGAGAGAGAAAGTAGGCTTCCTTTTCTATAGTGGCAAATATTTACATTGGTGACAGAACTGTGGTATAAGGAAAACACCTTCCTCTTCTTTATTTATTTAATAATAATTTATAGGTAATAGTTTGTATTCTTTTATACTTTGGTTTATTTGTTTTGATGCTCAAATTGTTCCATTTTGGCCATTGTCCTTTTGACTTACTGTTTTATTTTTTTCAAGCATTTTGCTATTTTTTAAATGTAAGCTGACATACTTCAGAGTATAATTACTTTTAAAATAAAATCTTATCAGAATAAATTATTCAGTTAGACATGAATTTATGTATAGATATAATTTATAATTATTTAGTCTGTTATTAGCATAGATTAATTATGCATAAAATGGGTTTCATTACATTATTTTCATATGTGTGTATAATGTATTTTGATCATAATTATCACCCTATAAATTATAATTCTATCCATTAACTTGTAACCATACCTTAATAGGTTAAAAAGGTATACTTGTATTATGCTCAGTACTGATAAAGCAAAGAAACATTATTGTTTATTAAACTGTGGTCTTCAGTAAAAGACATTACAAGAATATGTAAAGTTCGAAATCAGATGTTTCAGGGCTGGAGTGATAGCTCAGCAATTAAGAGCACTGGCTACTCTTGCAGAGGACCTAGATTTGATTTCCAGCACCCACGTGCTGGCCAACTGTCTGTAACTCCAGTTCCAGGGGATCTGATGCCCTCTTTTGACCTCTGTGGGCATTGCATGACACAGTTATACATACGTGTAGGCAATGCACTCATACATGTAAGATGAAAATAATACAATATTAAAAAGGAAGAAATCAGATGTTTCTTAGAAGTTTTTTCCTCCTATTACTGGGGGCTGAAACTTAGGGCCTTGTATCTGATGTGCAAGCACTCATTCTACTATTGAGTTTCATCATGAAAGTTATCTATCTATCTGTTTATTTATTTATTTGTTTGTTTATTTATTATTTTATGTGTATGAGTATTATGCCTGCATGTATGTAAGTGCACCTGTGTTGTGCAGTACCTGTGGAGGACAGAAGAAGGTGTCAGATCCGCTGGAACTGGAGTTACAGTCAGTTAGCCACCACATGGGTGCTGGGATTCAGACCTGGGTCTTCTGCAAGAACAGCCAGTGCTCTTAATTGCTGAGCCATCTCCCTGGCCCCTCATCATAAAAGTTTTAACAATGTTTGTCTAATTAAAAAATCCATGTTTTGGCTTTTCTTTAAAGGAAAACAAAGTGTTACGAACTGTTCCTCTGCTGGCAGCATGCCTTCCCCAGGACAAATGTAAAGTAAAGATTGGGCGCCGCTTCAGTGAAGAAAGGTAAATTAACTCAGGGACTTGGAAGTCGTTCCTTTTGACACAGATCTTCCTTTGGGAGGGTTAAAATTATATAACTGGCAATTGGATAGGCAAGCCTTGACAAGAAAAATAATGAAGAGGAAAATGGAAAGAATTGTGCCTAGGAAAATGCAAGAAAAGACAAAATCTGAGACTTCTGATTTACCTTTAGAACTAGTGTCTCTATTTGATTAGACAGATGACTAAAGGGGAACTTTTATTAGGAATTCAGTAAGTATAGTAAAACTTTTATTTTCCCCAAACTAATGACGATATCTTAAAAATTATTGTTTTAGAGATGCTGAACTTTCAACTGTTTGCCGGGACTCTGGTACACTAATATTATATCCAGGGGCTGAAGCTACTAATTTGGAAGAATTTATATTAGATGCTCCTGTTTATCCTTCCACAATCATCCTCATCGATGGTACATGGAGCCAGGCTAAGGACATTTTCTATAAGAATTCTTTGTTCCGACTTCCCAAACAGGTAAACCAGTATTTTAACAAAGAATAAGTACAGTTGTATAATTGTGTATTATTTTTGTTTTTGGTTAAAAGATATACATGTGGACTGGAAAGATGCTCAATGGTTAAGAGCACTGTTTGCTCTTGCAGAGGACCTGGGTTCAATTCCCAGCACCCACATGGTGGCAACTGTCCATAACTCTAGTTCCAGAGGATCCGATGCCCTCTTCTGACCTCCATGGGCATTGCATAACACTGTGCACCTATCTCCATGCAGGCATTACACTCACATACATAAAATAAAAATAATAAATAAAATATTTAAAAAAGATACACATGTTTTTATATATGAATTTAGTGCTGTGTGTAGGAATGTATGCAAGTAGATATGTTCATGTGAGTAGATAAACACATTGACACTATTGACTGCAGACTGCATGAATTGCTCCTTAGAGAATGAGGGCTACTGTTCTCAGAAAGGTGCCTAGGAAGCATGGCTGGCAGTTAGAAAAGAAAAAAAGAACAGCAGTAACAACAGCAAACCTCACACCATTACATGCTCCACCCCATTGTTTATTTGTGAATATATGTATACTTGCTATGCATTTCTTGTCTTATTTAATGTTAGTACTGTCAGTAAATTTTTTGATAATTTCCTTTAAATTTGCTCAGAAAGGAAGAAGCTGGGGAAGGAGGGAACAAGAGAGGTTAGTGGAGGGGGAAAATTAAGACATCACATGCATATTTTCTTTCATATACACAATCTAGAGGGAGAACAAGGGAGGTTAAAGAGGAGAACTCATGGTCAGAGTATAGTATGGGAATGTCAAAATAAAATCCATTATTTTGTTTGGCAGCTAAATAAAAAAATAAAGGGGATATTATTTTCCCCTCTCTGTAAAAGTATAGATTAGATTTTATTTCTGAATGTGACTTGTCATTTTTTTCTTATCACATCCTCAGTACACATATCACACACTTGACTTTTCCCATTGATTTGTCTTAGGTTTTGCTCTTAATATAGTTGGTCCATTCAGCTTCTGCAGCGGTATAAATTTTCTTGCTTCAAATAGATGAGGGAACAATGACGGAAAAGAAAGAAAAATCAGGATTTAAGTACAGAGTATTGCTTTCCTTATAGAAAAAAGGTGTGGTAAAATCCAAATCTGCATGTGTGCCAGCAGTTCACAGGCAGTCATTGGCAGAAGTCCTTGCTCCTGGAAGATCAGTTTTTGTTGCATTAAGGCCTTCAGCTGACTGAATGTGGTTAACTCATGATGAAAGATGATCTCACTTACTCAAAGCCCAGCAATTTAAATATTAATTACATCTAAAAAAAAGTACCTTAAAAAACCCAGAGTAATGTTGGATCGTTATCTGGGTATTGTGGCAAGTTGACATATGAAATTAATCTTCTCAGTTATACCTACATTTCTTTTCTGTCTAAATTCTTTTAGGAATCCTATCTTAGTCTTGAACTTTAATGTCATGAGTATATGTCCTAGTAGTTTTTCTTACATAAAATAAACTCTTCTGATTTGCAGAATTTTTTTAACCCTTTTGTCTACCATATTATGGTGCATTACATTTTACTTATGCACATATTAGGTCTGTATTTATTTTGTCTTTTTTTTTTCGGAGCTGAGGACTGAACCCAGGGCCTTGCACTTGCTAGGTCTGTATTTATAAAACCCATCATAGTCTTTCTAAGCATAGTAAAACAATTAATTGTGATAAAAATATATACCATGTAGAATTTTAATTATTTTTGACATTGAACATCTTATTATAATTGAAAGCTATCATTTCATCCTCAAAATTGTTGATATCTTCATGATTTGAAAGCTTTGACATATCATTACTATATGTGTATGTGATACATAATTCAAAACTTGCATCAGATATAATAATTAGCTCTTTACTAGATTTTATATTGTGGTAAAACAGATACAAAAAATTTGCCATTGTAATCATTTTAGTTTTTATTTTTCTATTCTTTGGGGTTTTTTTGAGATAGGTTCTCTCTATAGCCCCAGTAATATAAAGAATGAGACTAGATAAAAATGCAAAATGAAGATGAGTGAGGATTAATGTGAGAGGAAAAAGACACTATTCACAGACTTTAGTTTGAACTCATTGAAACAACACACTGACAGAAAAAATAATCACAAGCAGTAATTCGTAAGTGTGGATTAACATAATATGGTCATTAGTGCATGAAAACCAACATTTGATGACAATGAAATTATATGCAAGAGAAAATACATCTCATGTGACTTTCCCTTGTAATTTTTCTTAAAGTTAAAATTGTGTTGTCTTATACATTACATCATGAGCAACTAATATGTCCTAAAATTAAAACTATAATTTATTAGATCTTTAATATAACTCATAGCATTCTAATATTTTTCTATGCATTTTCTATTTTTGTGTTATACTATATATTGTGTATTTAAATATTTCCCCCATCCATCCATAATCAGAAGTAGAGAACATAGCAGAATGAGTAGAGAAAAGGATGATAAATAGAAACGATTTGGGAAAGAATTTTCTGGGCCTGTTACTTTAAGCGCTTAATATATTTGGGCCCTTCATTGTGGCACAGATCTCTTGCTAATAAAACTGCCAGGCTGAATCAAACTAAAGAGTTTACTGGTTTTCCTTACAGAGCAATGGGTGAGTGTTTACTTTCAGGTTTGCAGGTTCTCCTTTGTCCCTGCATACCCCTAGCCCCTCCCCTTCATGCAGCTAGGGTTGACTGGTTGGTTGGTTAGGAGGGGTGGCTGACTCTCCCTGCCCCTGTGGAAGGTCAGCAGTCAACTAGTTTTATGATCCTAAGCAAGCAAGTGCAACCAAACTTGACATTTGGAGGACAGTTCTATAGGTTGAAAGTATAGCTTATCAGTTTAGCTGGGTTAAAGTCAACATTCCTAATTAAGTCATTTACTCTCTTGGTGATCTAAGATGATCGTTATGGATAGTTATATCAGAGTTTAAGAACTCTAATTTATATAGATAGGTCTCAGTAACAACTCTCTGCTCATGGTAACACTATGTTCCTTCCTTTAAACATACATGGCATACTAAAATACAGTGTATTCTAAGCTTTTTGTTTAACTCAAGAAAAGGTAATCTACTAAGCTTTAGAAGGAATCATCAGAAGTATTCTGGTGCTTTGTGTCAATTTTGTTTTTGGTGAAAAGAACATACTGTTTTTAAAATGAACTTTTAAAAGTTTAAAAGGATTGTGAAATTACAGTGTGTGATTTTCCCCCTGTTTTATTATTTTACTGCTGCTTTGTAATTTTTATTGTTTTGTGAATTTTTAAATGGCTAGGCATACTTATGATATTAGGTATCAACCAACGTTCATTTGGAATCTGTCGTGGTTTAGGTGAGAACTGTTCCCCATAAACTCACGTCTTTGAACATGTGGTCCCCAGTTGATGGTGATGTTTGGGGAGGTTATGGAACCATTGGGAAGTACAGCCTTACTATAGGAAGTATGTCACTGGGGGCAGGCTTTGAGAGTTTATAGCCTTGTTGCTCATCTAGATTGCTTTCTCTGATCATATTTCTGCTTGAAGATGTGATTTCTTAACTTCCTGTTTCAGCCTTCTGCTGCCATGCCTTCTATACCATTATGGACCTTCATTCTGTAACCATAAGCCAAAAGAAACTGTTTCTTCATAAGTCACTTTTGCTCATGATACATTATCATAGCAAAAGTTACTAATCCAGAAGTTGGTACCAGAGAGTAAAGTATTGCTGTAAAGAACCTGGCTATTATTATTATTTTTTTTAAGGAATGTGGAAGACTTTGGAACTTTGGACTAGAAAAGTAACTGAATACTATAAACAGGTTGTTCTAGCAGAAGCCTGGAAGACAGTTGTGCTAAGAGCAATGTAGACTGTGAAAGCCAGGCTCAAGAAAGAGGTTTCAGAGGGAACCAGTATTAGCAACTGTACTAGAGGCTATTTGTGTGATATTTTAGCAAAGATTCTGGCTATTACTGGTGATATCCTAAGAACTTGCCTAAGGCTAAATTAAAAAGTAATGGATTAATATTTTTTTGTAGAAGAAATTTTAAGCAGTGTGATATTGAGTCTGTGGTACTGTTATTACTGATAACTATTATGTAGGTTTACAATGAAAAGCAGCAAGTGGGGCAGGAAAAAATAAAAAAATGTATGGTGTGGATACAGAAGGAGAACCAGAAGCTAAGGCATGTGCTGGAAGGAAGCTGTGACTGTTAAAGAGATTAGTGCCATTCAGGAGAGGCCTCCTGCTCCCCACTGGAACCATGGGAAGGGTGCCCTCAGGGCAAGACCCAACTCAGTTAAACTTCCAACTTGGGAAAGGAGAAATCCTAAGGGACTGCTTCTTCTTAGAAAGCAAGTTAACTGCATACAAAAGCTGTTGCTAATGTAATTTAAGCTGGTGAGGGTCCATCCCAGGCTGGTATTTGAACTTGGCAGTGTTGTCCACATGCTATTGGCTTTGGAAGTCTGAAAGATGGGAGAGTGAGGGTGTCATGGATTCTTCCTCTGTGGTTTCAGAGAGCTGCTGAGAACAGGCAATAAACTGGGAAGGGAGTCCTTGTGAGGCTGTGAGAGGTTACTGTGTGAAGTGGTGAAAGTGAAGCCTGGGTTTTAGTGGAGAACCCAACATGTTGAGATGCCAGAGTCATGGGACACCTGCCAAGGAGAGCTGCGTGCAGGATGTGGAACTAACCCAAGAGAGAGATGTCACATGCAGCAAAGCTGGAGTGGCAGAGTCATCTCCACTCTTTTCTTACTTTTTTTTTTTCCTTTTTAAAAAGTTATTTTTTTTTTAGTTTTATTGAGAATTTCATACATGCATATAAGGTGTTTTGATCAAATCCATGCCCACTCCCTACCCCTAAAACTCCTCCCATATCTCCCCATCACTTTTTTCTGATAAATTCATGTACTCTTTCTTCTTTGATTTATTATTTTTTTCATGGAGCTTTTTGCTACTCTAACATTCCCCCTTCTGAAGAGGTAACCCTAAAATCTTTTAAGGATTAGATAAAAGCTCCCAAATATTTTAGACATTTTTGGC